GTTTTACTGTCTGTAATTAAAGATGTTAAAATAAATAAAGTTATTATTGTAAAGCGGGGGAGGAGCCGCCTCAGTTTGGGGGGGGGGGCACTGAGGGGGGGAGGGGGCTTCCCAAACATGGGGCAGCTTCTAGATCTTTCTCACAGAAACCACCCCTGTGGCCCCCTGCCACCAAAACCTTGCCAATTAAACCCACGACACCGAGAAAATCAACAAATTCCAGTCCCATTGAGATTGGAAATACGAAATTCAATGAAATCTTTATTATTATTATTATTTATTATTATTATTATTTATTATTATTATTTATCTGTAATTATTATTATTTAATAATAATAATAATTTATTATTATTATTTATTATTATTAAATTTGGAAACCCAAATTTGGAAGCCCTTTGCTATGGGCTGACTTCACTCACACGGTCAGGAACCAAATCTCAGCTGCTGCATTTTCTGGCCTGTGTGAAGCTGACCCCGAACGTCAGCCCTCAGACACTTGCAAAATGCGTCCAGCAACCCCAGGGAGAACAAAGATGTCCTTTGAAGGGGACCTCCAGGAAGAGCTCTCCTAGAAAAATAAATGACCAAGATCTCTGGAAGAGCAGGATTTTCCTCCAAAACGACGGCCTCTTCTCTGGATCAACGGAGCCAGCTGAAAAAGTGGGGTTAGAAAACCCAGGAAAGGAAGTTTTTTCAGGAGGTAAAGACTTCGTGGCTGGGTTATAAAACCGTGCTCCGTCTCCTGTAGTTGCTGTCGTGTACAGCCAAGTGTTTCCCCTCTCTCCATCCATGAGATTGCCCAAGAGCTACCGGTGACCTCCCAAGCAGAGATCTTGAGGACTTTTTATTTCTAGGGTTGGTCACCGTGTAACGGGCAGGCTTCCTCCAAAGCTTTGCGTGTCACGTTGCGACTTTTCTCGTTTTAACCTCCCAGAATTGCGTCTCCACGGAGCAAAGAGCCTTTTTGGGGTCAACGTTTCCCCCAAGGGAAATACTCAGCTTTCCATTCCAAGCATTCCTCACAGGTTGCCCAGCGAGGTTGTGAAGTCTTGCATTGTCTGGATTTAACCTGGCAAAACTGCAGCTGCTTGTCATAGAGAGCCCTTTTTGTGCCAGCATTCCCCCCCCACAGAGGATATTCTTGTATGTAATCCTGTAGCTTCAGTGTTTTTCTTTTAAGCCATTAGACCTTCATTTTTTTTTTCTTTGTGGGTCTAGAATCAGAACACGCAGCAAATAGGAGGTGGAGTGGAGAATGGCAGGCAGGGTGCCACAACCCCGGCAGGTACCTGGGAACTTCGGGTGGCCTTTGGTGGGGTGCTTTACAAAGGGCACTGTGAAAATCGGGCACCAGCACCAGCAACTTGAGTCCATGTTCGGTCAAAAAAAAAAAAAAAAAGAAAGGATTGCATAAGGAAGACGCACCTGCAAAAATGATTCAAGCTAGAGGTGGTGAAGGAACAGCATTTCACCCACACAGCAAGAACCCAACAGCTTGCAGAAGGAAAAACTTCTCCTTTCTGTTCATCAAAATCAAACCAGCCAAGTCCTTCCCTTGTTTAATGTCTTCCTGCATCGAGTCCTAGTTAAGGGTTTCCATAATGCAGCTGTTGGATGCTGCTTCTCAACAAGGTATTTAATGCCATTTCATCCACAGAATTGCAGAATCCTAAAGGACCCTAAAGATAATTTAACTCCAACCCCCCTGCCACAGACAGGGACATCTCCCATTCGATCAGGCTGCCCAAAGTCCCACCCAGCCTGGCCTTGAACACCTCCAGGGATGGGGCATCCACAGCTTCTCTGGCAACCTGTTCCAGTGCCATCTACCAGACTAACTTCTTACCAGGGGAATAAGCAAACAGTCCTAAGCAAATAAATGAATCAATGAAATCTTTTATAGAGCAAATCATTCCCGAATCAAGATTTAAGCGTTACCCATTTGTAAATGTGACAAAATCTTGCAACGCTTCTGTACTGAGTCTGTCTGGGAAGGACTTCTTTGTCTTCACAGCAGCTTCTATGGTGCTGTGTGTCCTTCTTCTTCCACTTTTCCTTTGCTTAATAATTTTTATCTCAACGCACAACTTTGGTTGCTTTCCTTCTCTCCTCAGTGCCACGGGATGTGGTTGTGTGGTGCTTAGCTGCCTACCGGGGCTAACCAACAGCGTCACAGTCCAGTGTTGCTCTTGCTGACCCAGCCGGAGGCTGCTCAGGAAGAACCGCTTGCTCCCTGCATGCTGCGATGATAAATATTTCCCCAGCTCTTTGTATCACCCCTAAAAAAGACTGGCACCCCACATGTGCATTCGGCATGCTCGTTCCCATTATATATTTTTGTCAGAGGAAGATATTTGCAGAGGGACTGTCCATGAGCAGTGGCCCAGATCTTGTTCTACGCTGCTGTCCCTTCTTTGGGGAATCCATTTCTTGTGGTTCCAGGGGAAGGACTGGAGCTCAGCCCAGCTCCTACAGCTCCCTCTCAGCTCTGTCCTGCAGGTTTGGGCAGTGGGGGGGGGTTCACAGAGCAATGCTGTCATTTGTCCATGAAGTCTACGGTAAAGGTGGCGTAGTGATGAATGCACCTTCCAAGGACCACTCGCTGGAATGGAGCTGGTCTTAACGAGATAGGATTTAGTAGCTTAGTGGGTAGTATTGGTGATAGGAAGACGGTTGGACTAGGTGATCTTGATCTTGAAAGGTTGTCCTTTCCAACCCTATGTTTCTACGATTCTACGATTCTGTGACAACCTTGGAGAAGTTGTCAGGATGTCCTATTCCTAGCAGGGCACTGGATAACTAAACCCAGTCCCAGAGAGCTTGAGTAGATATTCTCGCCGATACTGGAGGTATTTGTGACCACAGAATCACAGAATCACAGAATTTCTAGGTTGGAAGAGACCTCAAGATTGTTGAGTCCAACCTCTGACCTAACGCTAACAGTCCCCACTAAACCATATCAATATCCCTAAGCTCTACAAATCTGGCTAATATTCCTCCCTGGGTAACATGCTGATTGCCATGGCATTCTCCCTGTCCAGAGGCTTGTTCTGTGCACATGGTCTGTTTATGAGCTGGTCGCCCACACGCCCTACACAGTCAGCACAGGGACATGAGGTCCTCCGCATCCTACCCTGCTGTGGAACGAAGGGAGGTGTGCCCATGGTCCCCTGCTGAGGCCTTCCCACCTGTCTGAGGACCTGGGGATCTAGCCCAGGTGGAGATACTTCCAGGCAAGACTTCTGGAGTTAGGTGCGCTGAATCCTAACCTTATGGCAGGAGAGGGAAACCGAAGAGGCCTGATTCGCCTGCCCATCCATGGATTTCCACTGTAGTACTGAGTCTCCCAGACAAACAGCTGTGAGAACCCCCCCTTGTGATTTGGGTCTCTTGTTGCGTTTTTCAGAAGTAGTCCTAAAACGAAGTATTAAATGACCTCAGACACAAGGAGTGGCCCTGTGCCACCCCAGAGAGACCCGGGCCTTGCAGGCAGAGTGCCTGGTGCTCTGTGTGATGAGGGGTTGGGGAGACGGCAAGAGATGGGGGACGGCACCTCCGAGCTGGGCTATTTGAGCACAGTCCTGTGCTTCTTTCTGAGGAGAGCTCCAGACCCTCTTCCCATGCAGATGTTTAACTGCTGCTTAAAAATCCAGGGCTGCACAGCACTGACCTCTGTTTGGCTACGTGTTGGGATTCCTGACAACGTGGCCTCCTGTGGGATGCTTCCCCTCAGGAGGCACGAAGGAGGGAGCCGAGTCTCCACCTCCCCAGCCTGTTTCTTCAAGCCCCAGTGCCAGGCTTGCAGTGGGGAAGAGGGACAGGGGCTGAGCTCCTACTCCTCCCTCCATTCCTGCACCAAGAGAGAAGGAGATCTGCAGCCCCCGCTGCCAGCCTGGCACCTGCGCTGCCTGCAGGTAAGAGCCAAGCAGAATCCTGCCCTGGATAACGGTGCTCAATCCACCGGGGGTGCCCACAAGCTAAGACCCTCTGTAAAGCCATGATTGTGGCTGAGCACAGAGAGAAGGGGCACACGGGGTCATCACGGGGCTGACAGGCTGCAGTGTGGTGCAGTGCATCCGTCCTTCCTGGGAGAGTGAGTGCTCATCACCTCCTCATCGGTGTGCAAGGGAGATGCTTGCCTGGGCAGGCGGCAGAGTCCTGCTGAAGGTCAGTGAACACCTCTTCCTCCTGCAGCCGGCGGGTCAAAAGCAGCAGGAGGAGACATTGACTTGGAGGAAGTTTTAAAGGTATTTTCCTCACCCTTTCTTGCTGCGTCTTGTCTGATCCGGGATTGCACTGACTTGTGGTTAACGACGCATTAAAAACTCAAGCAGTGCAAAATGTCCAGCGAACGGGACAGAGCTGGGAGCTGACAGTGCAGGAGCGGTCCTGTGTTAAAGCCTGGGTCAGACCTTGTTTGAAGAAGCCAGGGTAATATCCCACTGTTCTCACTGAGATCAAGACCACCCCACACATGCCATCCCTGTTAGGGGGGCACCTTGAAACAACACAGCTCTAGGAAGGTATCCCTACAGTTCCAAGGCCATCACATCAAATGGCATCTCCCCCAATTTCCAGCACCACCAATGTCTCTAGGCATCCCCGGAGCTGCACCTCCTGGAGCACGAGCACCCCTGGAGCAGTACGGGTCACACCCTCTGAAGGTAAAAGACTGATGTGATCAGACATCGCAAGAAATGTCTGTCCCCATCTAGGAGAAAAAGACACATACGTGAATGGTGGACATCCAGAGGCAGGTGAGACAAGTTTCCCCTTAAGATACAGCTCGGTTGACTCTCCTAGAGTCCTGTGGGAGTGCTGAACGTGCTGCTCTTCCCTTAACCATGCCCAGATCTGCTAATGAGATGAAAGACGCTTTCATTACAGCTCAGGATAAATCAGGCGACTACCCTTGTCCTCTCCATCAAGACCCATGGTTAGCTACAAGTGGGTGCAGATCCTAGGAGAGAACAAGGTCAAAACATCTCGGGAGAGAGCGGGAGGGAGGGTGAGCTGTCTGCCTGAGGTGTCTGCAGGTAGGTTCATCCCTCTCAGTCCATGCAAAGCCCTTGGAGCTGCAGCCCATGGTGGCCAGGGTTCAATTCTGCTCCTCCCTGGATGAATGCCAGTAAGAAATCCTCACTTCTCCCTTGTGTGCAGTGTGCCCTAAGCCTGCTGAGGAACTAATGCCACTTCTGTTCTCTTCTTTCTTTTCCAGCTGCAATCAGTGCTGCTGCACACCGATAGGCCAGTGTACTCCTTTAGCTAATGCAGCACAACCCTTGAAGGCAAGCAGCAGTGGAGAACAAAAAGGCATGCTGTGCTCGGCATAGGACTGAGAGTGCAGAGAGAAAGGGGAATGCTCAAAATCTTCACCACTGCCGTCCTCACACCAAGATACAGCTGCTGCTGTTAAAATATTGCTCTTCTTGTGCTCTTCTCAGACAAAGCACAAATGAGAAGGGAGAATCAAACCGTTCCACCAGGGTTTGCTTTTATTGGGTTTTCCTACTTTCCTAAACTCCAGGCTGTGCTGTTTGTGCTGTTTCTCCTCATGCACGTGGTGACCCTAGTTGGAAATATTATGATAATGTTTGTTATCAGGCTGAATCAGCAGCTGCACATGCCCATGTATTTTTTCCTAAGTGCTCTGTCCTTCTCAGAAATCTGTTATACCTTCTCCATCATCCCAAAGATGCTGTCCGGATTAGTGCTGGGAACTAGAACCATTTCTTTCCTGGGCTGCGCTGCACAGATGCATTTCTCCTTCATGTTTGGATTCACGCACTCTTTCCTCCTGACGGTGATGGGATATGACCGGTACGTGGCGATCTGTCAGCCCTTGCATTACAGCACCGTGATGACCTCCCGAGCCTGCACCCAGCTGGTGGCTGCCTCATGGGCAGGGGGTGGTCTCCTGGGGCTGCTGGTGACCAGCGCTGTGTTCCAGTTACCGTTCTGCCAGTCCCACCGCATTGACCACTTCTTCTGCCATGTGCCCCCCATACTCCAGCTGGCTTGTGCTGGTGGCGAGGTGGTTGGCACTGTAGTTGGCATCTTTTGCATTACTGCCTTGTTGGGATGCTTTCTGTTCATCCTTCTCTCCTACGCCTTTATCCTTGGCTGGATCCTGCAGATGCCATCAGCCAAGGGGAGGCACAAAGCTTTCTCCGCCTGTGCCTCCCACATCACCGTAGTGGTGGTGCACTATGGCTGTGCCTCTGTCATCTATTTGAAACACCAGTCACCCCGTGCTGCAGGAGCTAGTGTTCTGATTGATGTGTCTTACACTGTCTTCACCCCCTTCCTGAGCCCCATCATTTTTAGTCTGCGAAACAAAGATATAAAAAATGCCTTTTGGAAATCTCTGAAGAAAAACTTCATCATCAGGAATGCAAATATTTGTCCAGGATCTAGTTTCAGTTACAGGAGTGATTATTGCTAATTTTTATTTATTTATTTTTCCTTTGGTAGTTCCTTGCTGCTTTCGAAAGAATAGCCATACTTTTTTTCCAGGCAAATGATTCATTCCTGCAGACGTGACACCTTTTGCACTCACTGGGCATCACAGGCTGCACTGCAAGGCTTGGCTGGAGCACCTAGGTGTAACTTTTAATGCTGAAAATTCAGCGTCATGCAGAAGCAAGAGTGGACAAAGCTCTCAACACTCCCAGAGGAGACACGAGCCACTTCTTGAGGAGCAGCAGGTGACTGTCTGAGACCTGGTGCAGTAGGCTCTTGTCCCCACCATAGGCACTCTGACTGATCCTCTAAGTATGACTTTGTCTCTTCTGGTGCTGACTGTGAAGCTGGCCTGAGAAGGCTTTGGACTGATTCCCTTTTGTCTTGTTCAGCTTTTGACAATTTGCAAACTCAAAAGTGCTCGCTTGAAGACAAACACGTTTTACTATTCTGCTGTTTTGAAAAACTCACTTCTCTAAGGAATATAGATGTGGATTTAAAAAGGTAGTTTTAGAGTATAAGGATTTTGTTTGAGATAAAAATATTTATTTATTTATTTATTTCTCCAGGTATTTGCACTCCTGTTTATGCAAAAACAATCAAGCATTTAAACAGTTTTCCTACATCTGGATAGGTGCAAAATCATAAAATACCTCGTTTTTTCTGAACACTGATTTTCAGGCATAATTTCTCCCCCCATGACATACGTGTAATTTCAGCAGGACTATGTTCTCTCCCAGGGCTACAGACACAAGACAGGGAGATCTCTGAATCCACTTGCTTTAATTAATAGCTTTGTAATAAGTAATTAACCTACCAGTGCTCTTCTGTACTCAGAGTGAAAAATGAAGGAAGTGTTACTCAGTAGTAGCACATTTGTGCATGATTGTTACTGCAAGTGAGAGGACACCACTTGAATGTGCTTTCAACAGAACTAAGGAAAAAAAAAAAACAAACAAACAAACAAATACTGGGTAAAAGTCATTGTACTTTGCACAGACCAGTAGATATATTTGTTGGCCCAGCCATAGCTTGAGGAACAGGCAGACTTCCAGGGTCTAACATCCAGGATATGAAACACTACACTGATTTCATAGGGACCAAGACAATGATGTACAAAAAGAAATGCACAGAAAGATGTCAGGAAGGTTGTGTGGGGTTGTTGTCTCCCCATTTCATCCCATCAGTGCACAGGAACCCTTGGTGAGACAGATCTCAGAAGGGAAGGATAAGAAAGAGAGAAAAACCCATCAAAGTAGCCTGATACCGACAGGCAGTGAGCATAGTCAGGAGAAGAGGAGCTTTGGACAGGGGTGTGCCAGTGCTGCCCTGGAAAATTCAGCCTGCTTTGTGCAAATCTGACAGGACTCTGTTTAAAAAGAAAGTCCAGGAGCCTGCTGAGCTCAGATCTGAAGGATAGGTCTGCCCTTGGCCTTTTGGACAGGTGGACAGGGGCTGGAGCATGGGGAGGTAGGAGTAGGGCTCTGGCCATGTTGGCACGTTCCACTTTGTGCCTGGCTGATTGCATGCCAGAGCTTGGCCATGTCACTGCTTATAGCTGGCTTTAAAACGTCAAGCTCAGCAGAACCACCTGAAGAACCCCCTGAGAAACAGACATTACCAGCTAGAGTTCCCATTGCACCAGGCCTCTGCTGGAGCAGCCACCAGTGCCCCTGTGCTGCTTGTGCCTGTGCTTCCCAGCAGAGATGAAAGGTGATTCAGACGGAAATATTTATCCTTTACATCCATAGAAATAAACGTGGCATAGCACATGTTGGTAGTTTTTGTTGTAGTTTGATGATTTATTTCTTTGTTATTTGTTTTTTAAACAGCTTTCTACTTTGGTTTCTGCCTGCACAGAAATCCAGTGCAAGGCACAGGTTGGTCAATCTAGCTCTAAACAGGCACCGACTGTCTTTGTATTGCATTTTATATGGACTTTAGGACTATAAAACTCACATCCTCCCTTCTTAACACTGGCATTGCTGCAAAGGGCAGACACTGATGGCAGTGGTGGGCACTCAGACACACATCTCATTTACCCTTGGGACCAAACAGCTACAGCTTGGCCCTGGGAGAGATCTGCCCTCGAAGCAGGGACCAAGATGCTGTCCTTGTTTCTGGTACTGTCCTTTTCCTGTAACATCGAATTTCATATCCATCTCATAGTCCATTTCCTACTTCATCAAGTAAAGTTTCATCCTAATTTTGAGATTTCCTTTAATTCACTATAATTATTGTGGAAGGTGCTGTTCTGGACATACCTTAGCATTTGGCCTTCTGTTTCTCTGGCCACCTACAACCATTTTCTTGCTTATGGATGCCTATTTACAGCTTCCTGAAAATGGAAATTTTCCTGGTCTTTGCATGGTGATATGCCAATCACAAGGCATTCTATGATTGTTTTCTGAAATTCTTTCACCAAAGAAAAGCCTGGACTTCAGAAAGACCTTTGACACTGTTCCCCTATCAAATTCAAAAGAGAAATGTGGCTATACTGGAACAAGTCCCATGTAGGGCCACCAAGGTGATTGAGGGACTGGAGCACCTCTCCTATGAGGAGGAGAGGCTGAGGGAGTGGGGGCTGCTCAGACTGGAGAAAAGGAGGCTCCTATCAATGTCCTTAAATACCTGAAGAGAGTGCAGAGAACACAGATTCCAGGCTCTTTTCATTGGTGCCCAGTGCCTGGAGAAGAGGCACTGGGCACAAACTGCAACAAAAGAGGTTCTGTGTATATGTCAGGAAGTGTTTCTGTGCTGTGTGGGTAGTGGAGTACTGCAACAGGTTACCCAGAGAGGTGCTGGAGTCTCCTCCTGGGAGATCTTCAAAAGCCATGCGGACATGGTCCTGGGAAACCTGCTCTAGGTGCTGGTGCTAGAGCAGCAGGGTTGGACCAGATGACCTCCAGAGGTCCCTTCCAACCTCAACCATTCCGTGGCTCTGTCATTCTGTGAAAACAGATGAGGAAGCTGCCTCCTTTTAACACTTGCAAGATCCAGTGGGGTAGGTGGTCTCTGATGTGGCAGCAGATTCCCCTGTGTTATTTACAGCCATTTGCATGGGCATCTCAGTATTCTCGGGGAGGAAGGAGAGACTGTCCAGCGTGAAGAGGCAGAGCAAAACATCAGATAAAACCTTTAGACTTCTGCCACCCACGTCTTTTATGTCCCATGCTCAAATCTCATTGAGCGACTAACATACCTTCTTGGGTGGAAAGGACTTCTCACCCAAGACCACAGCCTCAAAAGCCAACTTCTGTCCCACACAGGAGCATGTCAAGGACTCTCTGTCCTCCAGGTGCTGCTGTGGAAGTAGGAAGGGCACTGCAGAAGGGGAGCTACCCTCCATATTTAGAGGGATGTACCAGAGGACCTGCTTCTGTGCGTTATCCTGCCGCTTATCCATGTCAGGGCTGTTCCAGTCTTCACTAACACTTCTCTAATCTGGATTCCGCATAATGAAATACAGCAGTGAAAAGGTCTCTGTTTCTTTACCTTAGACTCTTCCTGCATCTTCCTCGCCCCAGCATGGACACATTTGTACCTACAACTCGTCCTGCTCGGGCAGAGCTTTAGAGGCATTTGCTTTGGGCTGCAAGGAGGCACCAGGAGGCTGGGTGTCTGTCACTATCTGCCCATGTGTGCAGTGACTGTAAGGTCACTTCTGTCCCTGCAGAAGATAGGGCAGCAGCAGGAACATGTCACAGAAAGGGACTGAGAGGTCACTTCTGTCTGTAGGTGGCAGGTCACCCTTGACTTAGAGCTGGGATCGGTACTTTTCGGCTGACATCTGCCAGTGGCCCTGGTAGGCCAGCAAAAGGCACCTGGCTGGCATGCTGACTGTGGGATCCCCTCTGCCTACATACCCAGGAGGACCCATGCAGAAAGAAGGCCCACATATGGGTTGTCCTGTCCCTTCTGCTTGAGTCCATGACTGGACAGCAGCAGGCCCATGGCTTGGAAGATGCTGGTGCGGTGACTTCTGTCTGGTTGGCTGACAGGCCGCAAGGAGCCTGATGGATTGGGATGCCTACTTTAGGAGGGGGTTCCACCCTGATGGAGCTTTCTTTTGTAGTAGAAAAGAGTAGGAGAGAAAAAACTGCCACAAAGTGCACTTTGGAATGTTGGTGCTGGCCACGAGGAGGAAGAACTGTCCCTCAGAGTGTTGTGCTGCGTTGCCAGAGGTCACCCAAAGAGCGTCTGTGATCAGAGCATGGCTTTGTGTGAGAAGGAGCAGCTGGGGAGGGTTGATGAGACACTGGTGAAATGATGGAAATGCTGGGATGAGAGCAAGGTGGTGAACAGAGACGGGTGTCTACAGTCCTCAAAGAAATAGGTGAAAGTCATCAAAGTCAACAAAGTGCTCTGCCGGGCACTGCCCAGCCCAGCCCGGCCCCTGCCCACCTCTCCCCACCACCCTGAAGGGTCCCTCCCCACCCCATCCCGAAGAAGGGTCTTCGGGATGGGGTGGGGAGGGTTGGGGACACAGAGACCCCTGCCTGACTCCAGGACTCCTTCCCTGGGTAAAGCGGCGCTTGGGCTGACGGGGCCGAGCTTCCTCCGCAGCACCACAGAATCCCAGGACGCTTTGGGCTGGGGGGGACCTCGGCGATCACGATGCTTCCCCCCAGCCCAGGCTGCCCAAAGCCCACCCAGCCTGGCCGTGGGCAGTGCCAGGGAGGGGGCACCGCAGCCTGCGCCAAGGCCTCACTGCCCTGGGCGTGAAGGAGAGAAATCCCTGCCTGTCCGAAAGAAACCTGCCCTCTTTGAGGTTAAGGCCGTCACCCCTTGTCCTGTCGCTGCAGTCCATGATGAAGATCCCCCCCCAGCTTTCCTGGAGGCCCCTTTGGGCACGGGGAGGCCGCAGCGAGGTCCCCCTGCAGCCTTCTCCAGGCTCCACAAGCCCAGCTCCCTCAGCCTCTCTTCCCAGCGGAGCTGCTGCAGCCTCTGGGCATCCCCGCGGCCTCCCCACGTCCTTCTGGGGCTGGGGACCTTCCTCTCCTCACCCCTGCATTCAGCCCCTCTCTGCAGCACTCTTTGCTTTCCTCCTTTCCAGATAAGGCATGGAAACTGTGCAGAGACAAGGACGTGAAATTCATCAGGGCGTATGTCAGAGGCACAGAAAAGGTAATGGCAGCCGCTTGCATCACAGCTGTGCTCCTGGCGCTGCCCTCCAGGGGTCCCACACAGCCCCAGACCCCTCAAGGCTTTGGTCCTGCTGGCCGTGGGTGTCCCCCTAATGCTCTGTTGGTGTCTTTGTGGCTGCCAGGACGACGAGGAGCAGAAGATGCTGTTCCTCAGCAAAATCTGCGATCTGTGCAGATGTGTCACAGAGAGGGGTGTGCCGCTGAACTTGCATGACTTCTGCTGCCAAACTAACCTGGTGGAGAACATCATGGTGAGAGGATGCGCAGCGGGTTGGGGAAGGGGCAAGGCCCCCCGGCACCAGCCCCCTGGGAGGCGAGGGCTGGGGCAGCGCTGGCTCTGCTGCTGCTGGGTGCCGGCGGCTCCAAGGTCTCATCCTGCTTGTGCTCTGCAGGCGCTGCTGGAAAAGGAGCCCATGGACAGCTTGCGCACAGCATTCCGGCAGAAGGCCATGGAGACTGTCGCCCTCCTCAGGTGCGTGCCCAGCCCCTGGTGGCAATGTCCTGGTGGCCCTGAAGCTGGCAGGGAGGCTGCCCGTCCCTCCCAGGGATGCCTGGCCAAGGGAGGTCCGTGTCCTCCTTCATAAGCCTCGAGGCACTGCGTCCAACAGGCTCCTCTCTCTCTCTCCTTCAGCAACACCGTGCCGACAACACTGTGTGGCGAAAAGGAGAGTCTCCTGAACGTGTGCTGCAAGAGCGTCTTCTTTCTACCTCCCAAGTCGGACATGCCAGAGACAGAAGGAGCGCTCTACGCCAAGGTATGTGCTGGGTGAGATACCGGCACCCCCAGTCCTGCTGAGCTGCTGCCTTGCTTCCCCGTGCTGACACAACCAGAGACCAGTGCAGGGCCGGGGCCCAGATTTGCTTTCCCAGCCTCACCCTTTCCCCTTCCCGGGCATGATCCCATGCTGCAGGAGGTCTGCACACAGCAGCTTTTTAGCCCCAAAGCCACCCCTGAACTCCAGAGGGGCTCAGAGCCAGCTCCTGGGGGTGAGGAGGGCCAAAGAAATAATTCGATGCTCTTCTGTCCTCCCTGCAGACTATGAAAGCCCTGGACACCATGCTGGAGGGCTTCGTACTCAACTGTCCCATCGCCAGTTTCAACATAGAGATGCAGAATATGTTGAAGGTTTGGCATTTCCAAAGAATTTCCAAAGAATCCTCTCAGGTCACATTTGCAGACCGCTGTCAACCCAGCAACTTCTCTCCTCACAGGTGATGCTGGACTTTGCTGTCTCCAAAAACTCAGCTGTGCGTGAGAGAGCTGTGAAGGTGATTGAGAGGCTGATTACTTTCTTCCGCTGGTATTTGGTGATCAAGGTAAGGCACAAGGAATTTTCCACCCTTTCCTGCATCCCAGAGCATCCTGCCATGCAAGGGTGCCTGTGAGGCAAGCCTCAACGCACGTGAGAGCCTCAGCACTGTGAAGCGAGGGTCTTCGTCCCTCCTTTGCCCCTGCTCTTCCCTCCCCAGGCCGTGCTCTCTCAGGGGCTGGCTCTGCCTCCACTAAGCCCTTTGTCTCTCCTCCCTTCCTCAAACAGATCTTAGGGAACTTTGAAAACTATGGCAACGATGAGCCCACAGATTTCATCCTGCGCATCCCCATCCTGGGCAAGCTGCTGGGCCACCTCTTGCTTTTCAGCAGTGGCGATGATTCCATGAGACACTCAGCTTTGGAAAGTCTTCATCGCATGTACACAGTCGTCAGAGAAGGAAGAGGTAAGAAGGTGTGGTGGGCAATGTCCATCTTCACACAGACATCTGCTGGTTTGTCTGCCTGTTCTCCTGAGTATTGTGAAGGATTGTTTTTGTGCTTGGTGGAGGCTGCCCACGGAATTCTGCCAGGTTCCCTGGCCTCCTCTGCTCCTCACAGCAGCTTCCCGCAGCATTCTGGCTATCGTTTTTCGCAGAAGCTAGACGCTCACCTGCCGTCCAGGAGCAGTTCTCTGCTGCTGTCCTTCCCAACCCTCCCCAGATCACCTACCACGCTGTTTTGTGGTGTCCCCCAGTCTAAGCCATCAATCGATGAGCACTTCCCAAACCACATCTTCTCTGAGGAGTGAACAGCAGAGCCAGCCGTGCATCACCAGGGATGGTGACACCCTCCAGAATGCTCCCTGACTGTTTGCTCCCTGCCATCTTAAAGGCAGGTGTCAGGGGGCTTCCTGCACATCCTGACCCCGAGCAGAAGGGGTCTGTGACACGCTGCTACCCCCACGGCACCCAACGCCATTGCTTCTCGTCCTTCTGCATCATCCCTGAGGTCCCTCTTGCTCCCAGCACTCCTCACCTTGTGCTTTACATCCCTGCCCACCACTCTCCTCGCCGTGGGTCTGAGCCTCCCTCCTCAGCCATTCCTAGTGAAAGTGCTTTTCACCATTTGGCAAGCTTGTTGGCAAAGATGCTCTTCCCTACTGACTCTTCGCTGTTTCCCCCTGTTTAGAATGCATATTGAGAGCGGACATGGTAAATTATGCAGAGAGACACAAGAAATTGGAGTATGCAAAACTTCCATTTTCTACAACATCAACTCCGTGTGAAATTGCCAAGGTAATGAGCTCTGGCCTTGCTGGGGATCTTGTCCGCAGCATCAGCAGGCATCTCGTGTGAGCAAAGGGGTCCAGAACCGGTGGGGCTGGCACGGCCTCACTCGCCCTGCTGAGAGGGTTCCTCTTGTCCCCAGGCTGGGGCTATGCGAAGGCTGCTCCCCTGTGTCCCGGCAGCAGCTCCAGCCCTCCTGGCCACCAGCAAGCCCTGGTTACCTGCAGGGCCAGCACTCTGGCCCCATATGCCCCATCCTCACCCCTTCCCCCGAGGGCCCGCTCTCCAGAGCTGCCCTTGCTGCTCAGCTAAGCAGCACCCTTGGGACACTCAGTGAGGCATGTCTTCGCTCCTCCTTCTTCCCACAGGGGTTTGGAGGACATCTCTTCCCTGCTGAGAGGCTGGACATCATCCTCACAGCCCTGGAAGCTTTACAAGACTCCAGCATCCATGACAAGCAGGGGGCCTGCAGCGTGCTGGACGCAGCCTTGGAGGTCCCTGACTACTGGCTGACAGATGTAAGTGGCCTGTGGCCATGGCCCTGCCCTTGAGCTCTCCCAGGCGTTGTTCCTCTCTCCGTCCCTGCCTCCCTCCCTGCCTCCCTCGCACATCAGGGTCTCTTGGGCTCCAGAAGCCACCTGAAGCCAGCAGAGAGCAATGGAAGGGGCCAAAGTTTGAATGGCAGCTGTGGCAATGGCTGCGGTCTGCTGGCAACACCATTCCCACTTTGTCCCCCAAGGTGCCAACAATCATGGAGTGCATCAGGAGAAACCTGGGCAGCATCCACACGGCATCGGCGCGGCAGTGCCTGGACTCCCTGCTTCTCCAGATGACCAACATGATGTCCAGGGAAGAAGTCAAGAACCTGCTGCAGTTCTCTCCTGCCACGTGACAGGTCCTGGCCTTAACATCCTTGAGGGCTTGTTCCGCGTCGGGAGATGCACCTGGAGACTCTCTGCTTGCCACACCAATGGCAAAGAGCAGGACATCCCCAAGGAGCACAGCCCTCCTTCCCACCAATGTGTTCCAGCCCTACTGGGCCAGCCAGGGCTGCAGCAGCCCAGCTGTCCAAGGCAGCCCAGAGTCCCCCTGCCCCCAGGGAACACCAGCTCAGCCCCCTCCTGCCTGCCCAGGCTGGGCCCTCAGTGCTCCCCAAGGTCACAGGGGCTGCAGGACAGCCTGGGTCCTCTGGGGCTGGCCCAGTTTGTGGCCCTGCGGCTGAGGCAGCCTCACTGACAGAGTATTCTGGGCTTGCAGCACTGACCTGGCCATGTGGGAGGTGATCCTGGCCATGCCGAAGACCTGGGAGAATGTTTCAAGAATCATGATGCGAGACTTGCCGCTGCGCAACTGGTGCACCGCAGTCACCGAAGACACCTGCATCCGTCGCTTGGCTGTGAGTTCCCAGATGAAACCTTGCTCCCAGCAGGGCTACGTGTGCCCCTTCAGGCACACAGGCACAGCCCTGTGCCCATCTACCCCCAAACTGCCAGCTCCCGCAGGACGTACGGACACATGGTCCCTGGGGCCGGCAAGCCCCCGTAGCTCCCCGCGCCTGGTGCCTCTTTGGTGCCAGCTGGCGCTGCCCCATCCCTGCCCAAAGGTGGGAGAAGAAGAGGCTGCAGGGAGCCCTGCAGGCCCTGCCAGGCTCTCACTGCTCTTTCTTGCAGATGCTGGCCCAGAATCACATTTCTGAGGAGGACTTTGTTAACCCAGTGCACCTCCAGAGCTACCTGAGGCACCCAAGCCCAGAGATTCGCTTTTTGGTTCTGGAAGGGCTCTGCACCGTGTCAGAGAGCCCTAAGAAGGTGAGCGGGCCATCGTCAAGCAAAGCCATGTTGGCAGCCTGGGGCTTTGCTCTTCTGCCCTCCCGTCCCTCCCCGCTGCCAGGAAGCAAGGCAGGAGGCTGGTGCTCAGGAACCAGAGCCCTTTGCCCAGGGTGGTCTCTCACTGCCTCACGGAAGGGAAATGGTGTCTTTCCTACAGGCAAGGAAAATTCAGGTCTTGCTGCCAGACATCCTGGGGGCCCTGCAGGACACCAACACAGACATGGTGCTGAAGGCCCTGCTTGTGCTGAAAAACGTGATGGCTCATGTGGAGAGGAGGAAGGCCAGTGGCCCGGCTCTGCAGCTGGCTGAGAAGCTCCTGCCACTCTTTGACCACGTAAGTGTGCTGCGGGAGCCCGAGCCCTCAGCTGGGCCCCCTGTAACGAGGGCTGCCCTTCAGCCCGGCCCTGTGGGCAGCACTCAGGCAGGGCCTTCCCAGTCTCCTCGTCAGCCCAGGCGCTGGGGAGCTCTGCTTGGGCATGGCTGGTGCGGCTGGTGGCGAAAGTGGGGTGGCTGGCGGGCAGCCTGCGATGGCAACCGATTGCGTTGCCCTTCACGGGCACCAGGCCTTGCAGCTGCCCCTGAGCAGCTCCTCTGGGAAGGATCCAGCGCTGAAGCATCTCACAGTGCTGGGAGCTCCCTTCACATCAGCCAAGCTAATGCTGAAATTCCTCCTGTCCTCCTCCCTGCCAGGCGTCCAGCCAGGTGCGGGAGCACTCCATCTGCCTCTTCCAAGCCGTGGTGGAGGCTGTGCTGTGGCAAAGGAAGAAGAAATGAAGAGGACAGTGCGCAGGAGCCTTCTCCCACTCTACTTTCACAGGAGAGACCAGAGTGAGAGCGTAGCAAAGGTACAGATCTCAGAGCTGAGCAGTTATGTGGGCAATGGTGTGCTGATGCCACAGGGTTGCTCTGGGGGATCACAGAATTTCTAGGTTGGAAGAGACCTCAAGTTCATCGAGTCCAGCCTCTGATCTCTGGCTGTGATCTCTGGGATCTCTCTCATTGTGAGCTGCCTCTGATGGTGGCTGTCCCGTGGCCTTGCCTTGGCCACTGAACCCAGTGCACGCTGCCCCCCACCACAGCCTCCCATAACGCGCTGGGAAAGGCTCGCAGCCCTGCCAAGAGGAGGGGACAGAGGGTCTCCTTCCCAAGGCTGTGCTGCTACCTCCCAACCTCTGCTGCTCCGCAGGCCTCTGGGGAAGCTCTCGCCGTGGCTGCAGAGTTTCTGCGACGCAAGGAGCTCAAGCCCTTGGCCCAGACAGAACAGACGTGGAGGATCGGGGAGTGCTTGGTAAGGACCCAACTTGGTTTGCCCCAGCTGGGCAAACGTGCCCGGCCAGAGCCCGCTGCCTGCAGCCGCATCCTCGCTCCCTTCCTGCCAGCACAGAGCCCCAGGGGGCTCTTCTGCAGGCCCCTCTGCCCTCCCTGCCCCCAGGATGCTGGAGGAGACCCTGGAGAGGGTGTGCAAGCCCCGTGACCCTGCGTTCTCTCTCTCTCCAGCTGCAGCAGGACAGAGGCAGAGTAGAAGAATACCTGCAGCAGAGCCAGCCCTACCTGCAGGACACTCAGACCGACTTGCGACTTGAGGCCGTCAGATTCATTGGTGAGCCCAGCCCCTGGGTCCCTCTTGGGGCAGTCTTTGGCAGCCCCAGGCACTGCCCTGTTGCCCCCAGAGCCCCCCGACTGGGCCCTTGCTCCAGGGTGCAGGAGGGGGCACAGCCTGGCTGGCCAGGCCAGGGGCTGCGCTGCTGGGAGCGTGCTGGGGAGCGGGGCTCTGATGGGGTCTCTGTGTCTAGGTCTTGCTGCGCGCTACTGCAAGGACCAGAGTGAGGAGAAGCTGAATGAAATCCTCAGCGGTGAGTGAGGGCAGTGGGGGGTGTGCTAGGGCTGGGGGGACAGCGGCAGAGGCCCCCGTGCCTTGCCCTGCTCCAGGGAAATGCTTCGGGGCGGAGGAGCAATGCAGCCATAGGAACGAGGGAGAGGAGACGGGGTAGCCTGTGGTGTCAGGGAATGGCCTCCCAGCCTGGAGCTGGGCAGTGCCGCTGAAAGGGTTGAGTGTCCCTGAGGAAGAGTCAGGGGAAAGGGCAGTAAGGCTGACAGAAGGTGGGAGCCTGTTGTAGAGCACGCAACCAGGACGAAGAGGGAGATGAGACAGCCTACAAGCAGCTAGGAGCAGGGTCACGATTGCTAGCCCTTGCTCTCATGGGGAAGCACAATAGCGAGAGGAAAGAGTCCAGGAGATTCCTGGAGTGTGTGAATCCTCCCAAGGGATGGAGGCAGGTGGTGAGGGAACCAGCTTGTGAAGGTGCCCCACTTGACCTGTGGTGCGCAGGTGGGGAAGGACTGGTGGCTGCATTTGGGACATTGCTGAGCAGCAGCTTTCAACGGATTCCTTTGTCCCTCCTGCTCCTCCTGGCCTGGGGAAGAGTCGAGTGGGGCTGGCATGCTCTGCAGGGGATGCCTGGGGATCTCTGCAAGGAGTGGGTTTTCATCTCTGCTCTTCTTTCTTTTGCAGTCCTCCAGCCTTTAGAGAACGACCCGGAACCCATGGTCCGTTTCCTGGCAGTTGAAACCACCCTGATCCTGACGTCAATGCATAACGCAATGTCAGGACGGAGATTTCCACTGCTGTGTTGCTGCTGCCGCTAGCCCCGCAGCAGTCCTCAAAAGAGCAATATATATTTTAATAGAACTAGGTTGTTGTCTCGTTATTCCAGCAGCTCCTTCACAGTGACTCGGTGCCATGACGCTGAGCTAACTTGGAGGCCACCAAGGACGTCTTTTCCCTGGGCCCGGTGACTGCATGGCGCCTACTCAACCAGTGAAAGAGTCACAGAACCCTTGCGCTTGGAAAAGGGCCTTCAGCTCAAGTCCAAGCGTCAGCTAACACCACCAGGCCCACCACAAAACCACGGCCCTTAGCGCCAAGTCCACGCATTTCTTTAATAGCTCCAGGCCTGGGACTCCAGCAGTGCCCTGGGCAGCCGGTTCCACCCTTTGCATGAAGAAATTCTTCCTGACATCCCATCCTGTGAGTCCACCTGTGGTAGGTGCGCCCAGGTAGAAGAACTGCTCAGCCTCCTGGCAGAGCTTCGGGAGGAGGTGGGCAGGCTGAGGAGCACCAGGGAGTCGGAGAAGGTTGAACTGTACTCTGCCAGCCCTGGGACAGATGCGTCAGGCAGACACAGCAGAGGAAATGGAGGATCCCCTACCCTCTGGCCATCAGGCAGAAGGAGTGCATCTCAGTGACGAAGGGATGGAAGTTTAGATCTGCTCGGGGCAGCAGGCGAACCCCTCCTTGCCTACCTCACCTTCCTTTCAGGTGCCCTGAAACAACAGACTCTGGAAGTAATGGACACACAAACGATGATGTGCATGAAGGTCCATCCAGGTTGGAGGGGTTTTCTAGGGCAAGTCAGCCTTCCCCAGTATCACGACCACCTCCATCAAGAAGAAGAGAAGGGTTACTGTCATAAGTGACTCCCTTCTGAGCAGAACAGAGGGCCGCATATGCCGGCCTGACCCAACCCATGGAGAAGTCTGCTGCCTCCCAGGAGATCAGGGTAAAAGGTGTTTCTGGAAAGCTCACTCGCCCCGTAAGGCCCTCTGAGCATCATCCATTATTGTTCTGTCCCCGGGGTTTTTCGGGGCCCGGTGGCAGTGCCGTCCCCTCTGTGTCCCCCTTCGCGCAGGTGACACCTCGGTGCTGGCCGGGCTGTACGGCCCCGCGGAGGTGCGGGGCTCAAAGGAGAGCCCCGAGAGGGCGACGCTGGAGGTGCTGCTGCGCCCCAAGTTGTGGCTGCCAGGTGGGGGCCGCCTGGGGAGGGGGGGGGGCTCGGGAGGGAGATGGGGTCGGGGCCAGGCTCCGAGGGGCGTGGGGGGGGCCGAGGGGGTGGGGTCCGGGAGTGCTCTGAGGGGTCTGGGGGTGCTCACAGGGCTCCTGAGGAACGGGGTGTAATGGGGGGAGCCCTGAGGAGGGCTTTGGGGACTCTGGGAATGCTCAGAGGGGTCTGGGGGTGCTCAGAGGGCTTCAGGGGTGGTCAAAGAGCTCCCTAGGGATGCGGGAGTGCAGGGGAGAGCCCTAAGGAGGGCTCTGGGGGTGCTCAGAAGGGTCTGGGGGTGCTCAGGGGGCTCCCGAGGGACGTGCGGGTACCGGGGGGAGGGCCTGAGGAGAGCTCCAGAGGGGAGCCCCCTCCTTGGGGGCTATTTTGTGACACTTTGGGGACACTCTGGGGATAATTTGGGGACAATCTGGAGGCACATTGGGGACACCTTGGGGGCTATTTGGGGACACACCTTGGGAGCTATTTGGGGACACCCTGGGGACAATATGGGGACACTCTGGGGACGCACCTTGCAGGCCCTTGGTGACGTAGTGGACGTCGATGTTGTCACCTGTTGTCACCCTGTGCCCCCCCCTCACCGGCGTGCAGCCCCCACTTGCAAAAGAGGCTGCGCTGGGGGAAGCCGCTGGCCCCCACCAGCTGCCTGATGACGTGCAGCTCCGCCATGCCCTGCGGGGACACGGGGGGGGGGGGGACATGGGGACACACACACACGGTGTCACCCCACCCCAGAGGGGGGGGTCCATGTCCCCCCCCAGGGGTTTCTCCCTCCGAGTCCAACCCCTACGTATCCCCCCCCGGCCGAGGGGACGTGGCGGGGTGGGGTGGGGAAAAGGGAACTAGGGGGGAAATAGGGGGAAATAGTGGGGAAATAGGGAACTGCTTGGGGCAGGGGGCTGCCAGATAGGGAGCTCATAGGGGCAATGGGGGCAAGGGGCTGCCAGATAGGGAGCTACTGGGGGCAATGAGGGCGTAGGGGGCTGTCAAATAGGGAGCTAATGAGGGGAGGGGGCTGCCAAATAGGGAGCTATTAAGGGCAATGGGGGCAGGGGGCTGCAAGATAGGGAGCTGCTAGGGGCAATGAGAGGAGGGGGCTGCCAGATAGGGAACTGCTTGGGGCAGGGGGCTGCCAGATAGGGAGGTATTAGGGGCAATGGGGGCAGGGGGCTGCCAGATAGGGAGCTAAGGAGGGGAGGGGGCTGCCAGATAGGGAGCTGGTGGGGGCAATGAGAGGAGGGGGCTGCAAGGTAGGGAGCTATTGGGGGCAATGAGGGCAAGGGGCTGCCAGATAGGGAGCTATTGGGGGCAATGAGAGCAGGGGGCTGCCAAATAGGGAGCTAATGAGGGGAGGGGGCTGCCAAATAGGGAGCTCATGGGGGCAATGGGGGCAGGGGGCTGCAAGATAGGGACCTATTGGGGGCAATGAGGGGAGGGGGCTGCCAAATAGGGAGCTATTGGGGGCAGTGGGGGCAGGGGGCTGCAAGATAGGGAGCTGCTGGGGGCAGGGGGCTGCCAAATATGGAGCTATTGGGGGCGATGAGGGCAGGGGGCTGCCACATGGGGAGCTACTAAGAGGAGGGGGCTGCCAGATAAGGAGCTGTTGGGGGGGCAATGAGGAAGAGGGCTGCCAGATGGGGAGTTTTTGGGGTCAGGGAGGTGAGAGGGCTGCTAGATAGGGAGCCACTAAGGGCAATGAGGAGAAAGGGCCTGCTAGATAGGGAGCTTTTGGGGCCGTGAAGGGGAGGGGGCTGCCAGATAGGGAGCTATTGGGGTCAGTGAGGAAAAAGGGCTGCCAGACAGTGAGCTTTTGTGGTGAGTGAGGGGAGGGGGCTGCCAGACAGGGAGCTTTTGGGGTGAGTTAGGAGAGGGGGCTGCCAGATAGGGAGCTATTGAGGGCAATGAGGGAAGGGGGCTGCCAGATAGGGAGGCAATTCGAGAGAAGAGCCCCAATTAGGGGAGGGGGACGCGGCGCTCGGCAGAGCCGCCGCACCGAGCAGCACATGGCAAGCCCCTGGGGTGTGTGTGAGTGTGTGAGGGGGGTTGTTTTTTTTTTTTTTTTGGGGGGGGTTGGGGGGGTGTCTCACCCCGTGCTCCCTCCCCGCTGACGCCCGCCGGTGGCCCAGGGAAGGACTATGAGAAGGCGGTGGAGTTCTACAGCCGCGCCATCGAGCTGAACCCCGGCAACGCCATCTACTATGGGAACCGGAGCCTGGCCTACCTGCGCACCGAGTGCTACGGCTACGCCCTGGCCGACGCCACGCGAGCCATCGAGCTGGACAAGAAGTACGTCAAGGGCTACTACCGCCGCGCCACCAGCAACATGGCCCTGGGCAAGTTCAAGGCCGCCCTGCGTGACTACGAGACGGTGAGGCTGGAGTGGGGGGGGGCTTGGGGGCTTTGTTTTGTCTTTTTTTTACCTTTTTTTTCAGCGGTTCGGGGATCCCCGCCCAGTGTCGGAGCAGCCCTTGGGGGCTGTTGGTGGGGGTAGCCCTGTGGGTTGTCCAGGAGGGCTGGGAGAGCCTCCCTGCCGTGCTGACGGCACCCAAAAATGAGGAGGGGGGCTCTGGGGAGCTGTCTCAGACCCCCCCTCCAAAAAAAAAACGAGCGTGAGGGTTTCCTTGTGTCCGTCCCCACGCTGTTAGTGAGTTCCCTGCCCGCTGAGGGCCTTATCGCCCCCCTCTCCACATGCCCTAAAATTTTGGGGCCACCTGGGGACCTCCTGATGCCCCCTGAGTGCTGTCAGGGCCCCCCCTTGTTCCCCTCCCTGACCATCAGAGCTGTGGGGTGCCTTGGGGCGCGCGTCCGCCTGCAGGCAGAGAAATCCTCGGGGACCTTGGGGGGGGTTTGAGGGGGGGGCGCGTGTCCCTGTCCCCGTCCCCTGATGCCTTGGGCCCCGCAGGTGGTGAAGGTGAGGCCGAATGACAAGGACGCCAAGCTGAAGTACCAGGAGTGCAACAAAATTGTCAAGCAGAAGGCCTTCGAGCGGGCCATCGCCAGCGACGAGCAGAAGCGCTCCGTCGTCGACTCCCTCGACATCGAGAGCATGAGTGAGGCTCTCCCCGTGTCCCCCCCCCCCCGCCCCACCCCACCCCGAAATCCAGATGCTGCTTTCTTTAGGGGCAGGGCAGGAGAAACGGGTCCTGGAGCTGCTTGGCGGGGGGGGTTGGGGTCTTTGCTAAAAGTTTAGGGTCCTCTCGGAGGGTCCCGGGTGCTCTGGGGGGCCTGGGGGAGATTGGGGCTCTGCTAGGGGGTCTCGGATGGCTGTGGGGGTCTCATTGGGGTTGTGCGTGCCCCCACGGAAGGCTCAGGGTCCCCACAGGGGTTGTGGGGGGCTGTGAAGGGTCCTAGCAGAGGCCTGGGGTCTCCTTGGGGGTCTTGGAGTCCTTTTGAGAGGCCCCATTGGAGGCTCAGAGCCCCCATGAGGATCTTGGGGGGGGCAGATCCCCGCGAAGATCCCTGGCAAAACCTCAGGATCACCTGGAAGGGTCCTGGGGGGGGCTTTGGGGTCCCAGGTTGAGGCTCTGGGTTCCAGTGAGAACCTTGAGGAACTGCAGGGGGGGGGGTCCTGAAGGGTCTTGAGGGACCCACGAGGTCCCTGTGGTGGTCTCGGAGTCCCCGCGAGGGTCACCAGAAGAGTTTTGGGGTCCTCAGGAGGGCCTCGGGGTGCCTGCGAGCACCCCAACTTGTCCCCGTTGTCCCCTTGTGTCACCAGCTGCCGGGGGGGGTTTCGGGGGGGGGCCTCGTTTTGCAGCCATCGAGGACGAGTACAGCGGCCCCAAGCTGGAGGACGGCAAAGTCACGCTGGCTTTCATGAAGGACCTGATGCAGTGGTACAAGGAGCAGAAGAAACTCCACAGAAAATGCGCCTACCAGGTGCCCCACTTCTCCCAAAACCCCCCCCAAGCCCCTCGGTGGGGACGACCCCGTCCCCGGAGTGCCACATGTCCCCCGTTGTGTGTCCCCCCCCCCTGTCCCCGCTGCCCGTTTGCCCCAGCAGATCCTGGTGCAGGTGAAGGAGGTGCTGGCCAAGCTGCCCACCTTGGTAGAAACGACGCTGAAGGAGGTGGGTGCCCCCCTCGCCGGGTGCTGGGACCACCTTGTTGGGGGGTGGGGGGGCCATTTGGAGGTTCCCCCCCCCCTCCAAATTCTGGGTGGTGACGTTTGATCCCGAACGCAGACGGAGAAGCTGACGGTGTGCGGGGACACCCACGGGCAGTACTACGACCTGCTGAACATCTTCGAGCTCAACGGGCTGCCCTCCGAGTCCAACCCCTACGTATCCCCCCCCGGCCGAGGGGACGTGGCGGGGTGGGGTGGGGAAAAGGGGGAAAAGTGTTTTTTTTTTTTTTTTTCCTGAACCAGCCGCAGATATTCAACGGGGACTTCGTGGACCGCGGCTCCTTCTCGGTCGAGGTCATCCTCACGCTCTTCGGCTTCAAGCTGCTCTACCCCGATCACTTCCACTTGCTGCGAGGTAACGGGGCCACCACGGGTGCTGGGTGTGATGGGGCAGGTTGTGGGGTTACGTTGAGCAGCCCTGGCTGTGGGGTTTTGTCCCCACATCCTGGGATTGGGTCCCATGCCTGGGGCCACAAGGCTGTGTGCCCCGCTCTTGGCTGCAGCGATGGGTTTTGGGGACTCGTCGCCTGTCCTGGGTTTTGGGGACTCATTCCCTGTCCTTGGTTGTGGGGCTGGGTTTTGGGGACTTGTCCCCTGTCCTGGGTTCTGGGGACTCGTTCCCTGTCCTTGGTTGTGGGGCTGGGTTTTGGGGACTTGTCCCCTGTCCCCTGTCCTGGATTTTGGGGACTTGCCCCTTGTCCTGGGTTTTGGGGCCAGGTTTTGGGGACTCGTCCCCAGTCCTTGGTTGTGGGGCTGGGTTTTGGGAACTCGTTGCCTGTCCTGGGTTTTGGGGACTCGTCCCCCATCCTTGGTTGTGGGGCTGGGTTTTGGGGACTTGTCCCCTGTCCTGGGTTTTGGGGCCATGTTTTGGGGCCTCGTCCCCTGTCCTTGGTTGTAGGGCTGCCACATGTCCCCTGCCGCAGCGCCATGCCCCGTGTCCCTTTTGGGGGACATCCTGGGGCTGCCCCATCCCCAGGATTCCCTGAGCCGATGTCACCGGTGCCTCGTCCTTGCCCCACGTCCCCGTCCTCCACCGAGAGGCCGCGCTCCCCCTGGCTCCCCCATCCCACATCCTCAGCGCCTCGCCCCCTGTCCCGGCTGCCCGGCGTGTCCCTAATCCTCGGGGCTGATTTTGGGGGCCCCCCCGCTTCGTGTCCCCCCAGGGAACCACGAGACGGACAACATGAACCAGATTTACGGCTTCGAAGGGGAGGTGAAGGCCAAGTACACGGCGCAGATGTTCGCCCTCTTCAGCGAGGTCTTCGAGTGGCTGCCCCTGGCCCAGTGCATCAACGGCAAAGTGCTGGTGGGTGACCCCGGGGGGGGCCGGGGGGGCTGTCCCCAGGTGGGCGGGGGGCATTGGGTGTCCCCGTGTGGGGTCCTGGGGGGCCTGTCCCCATTTGGGGTCCTGGGGGCTGTTCCTGTGTGGGTGGGGGGGCATTGGGTGTCCCCATGTTGGGTCCTGGGGGGGCTGTCCCCATTTGGGGCCAGGTGGGCTGTTCCCATGTGGGTGGGGGGGCATTGGGTGTCCCTGTGTAGGGTCCTGGGGGGGCTGTCCCCATTTGGGGCTGGGGGGGCTGTTCCTGTGTGGGTCTGGGGTTGTC